TTCCCGGCTGGGCTTGCTCCCCCTCCCCGGACGCGGGCATCGCGGGCTGCACCCTCCGCACCGAGTTCGTACTTCTCCCTGCTGCTGGCGCTGCAGGCTCCAGCCACGCCGCCCCGCCCTTGCGCCCCCTCCACTTGATTCCCCACTTCCCCCAACTCCGCTCCCTCCCCCCTGACTCCCCGCCCCACCCCTTGGCCTCGGCGCTCTCTGAATCCCCGCCCCTTGAGTCCCCGCCCCCTTCCTTTCCCCCTTTGCCCCTCCCCTCTATCCTCGCTCTATTCCCCGCCTCCCTCGCCTGAGCCCCACTCTCCCCCGAACAATGGAGGGGATTGTGGCCCAAGCCCGCTTCGGGCTCCTCATGAGCCTCTCCTGCTTCCTGGGACCCCACTGTCCAGCCTCCGCTGGCTCACCCAGCCCCTCGGCCCACGTGCCCTTGGTTCTGCGGGGCTGGGGCTTAGCTGGGCTGGAGGCTGAGAAGGGAAGGGAGGCGTCTCTGCTGCCTCAGCTTACAGACGTGGAACCTGGGTGTGCTAAGGTGACTTTGTGACTCATCTAGAGCCCCCCCCCAAAACAATTTCCCTTCCACCCTCTTATGCTGGTTGAGAGGTGGGCAAGGCCGGTAACCCGGTAACCGCACTACTCTTGTGTGTACTACTCTGTGTCGGTTGACCAGCATCTGCCTTGCTGGGGGGAACTCCTTAGAAATGCAGGACCTGGGACTCCGCCCCCATCTTCAGCATCTCCATTTTAGCACCGACTTTCTCCAGTGTCCTGTCCTGTTCCCTTCATGTGGGCTAGTAGTCATCCCCACCTGCCAGACACCTGGGAGGTGTCTGAACATGGTGCCCAGCCCTGGCCTCCCCCATCCAGAAACCCATGGAAGGCTCGACACCCCATTTTTCAGAGTAGGCTTGGAGAGATCTGGCTTTGCTGAGAACCATGCTGAGAATGAAGCTCCCAACTTGAACTCAGCTCTTTCCCCTCCATCTCCCTGCCCTCAAGCATCTGAAAGCTACCAACAATGGAGCCTTGTGGAATGAACTACAAACTCCTTCTCACTAAAGTGTAAATGACGGATAGCACTGCCAAGGATCCGCTCCCTGGAGTCAGCAACTGGCTACTTGGCTCAAGACAGACTTGTCCTTGATACGATTGGTGGGGTTTGAGGCCGAGAGGAGGGGAGGGGGTTAGCAGGAGCTCTGCAGGATTGGGTCTCCAGTCCCTTGATATGTGGGTGGGTGGAAGAGGGGTCAGGAAGACCAGAGCCTGGTGCCCAGCTGAACTCTCTGAACCTTCCAGGAGGACATGCAGGGCCTGTGGAAAATTCCCAGGCTATTTTGGGCTGAGGCCCCCTTCCTGCCCTTTCCCAGGGTAAAGGCCCTGCTGGTGCCGGGGGTGGGGTGGCCTTGCCCCGTCCACTGATGTGCACACACAGGCAGCGACAGGTGTGCATCCACGTGTGCGCCTGGCTTCAGACACACACGTGCGCACATACACCACACATGTGAGCAGAGCCAAATACGCCCATACAATCCTGTGCACACACAGCCATACGCATTTACGCACATGCACACACATAGGTGTGTGCACACAGCTCAGCAGCCGTGGCATGCCTTGGGCGTGACTTTCCATCTGAGTTCGCTGCAGCCCTGAGGCCCGTCGCAGGTCTGGCCTAGAGCCTCCTAGCAGACTGAGCCTCAGTTGCCTGTTTGCAAATGCCCTGCAGCTGTAGGGAGTTGAGGGGGTCCAGGAGGGGGGCTAGTGGCAGCGGGTGGGCCCTGCCTCCTCCAGGGTCAGTTCCAAGGCTCCCCTGGTGTTGCTGGGAGAGCAGTTGCTGGTTGGAAGCACCGGTGGGTGGGGATGAGGGTGGGGGGGTGACTGCTGCACACCCCCCATCTGTGTGTTGGAGGGCAGCAGTGGGCCCCAGAGCTGGCTCCTGGGCTACTGGCTCCCCCCTCCCCCAGCTGTTTTCCTTACAGCTGGACTTTAACCCAGGCCTCCCCACACAGAGGCCATGCACTCCTTCTCCCTGCCCCCTCCCCCATGCCGCTCCCCCTCCCCACGCAGGCCCCTGGGGGCGGGCTGGCTCTTGTCCAGGCCTGCTCCAGCTGCCCCAGCTGCTTTCAGCTCTGATGGCCCAGGGGAGGCGGGCAGGGTGGTGGTTAAGGCTCCTGAGTCTCCCAGGCCAGCACTTACCTTCCCGTTCCCACTCCGGGAGGCTCTGGTGCCCCCCATGCCTCAGTTTCTCCCACTGCCAGGTACGCATGCGTGGCGCCCCCTGCTGCTGCTCGACTGTGCAAGGCACCGAGCACACAAGTACACGTGAACTCCAGCGGGGGCTTCGGGTCCTAATGCTGGTTAAGACCCTGCTCTGTCCCAGCCCCAGTGCAGGGCCCTAGGACGTGGAGGGACTCCATGCTGCCTTCAGGTTGCTCCCCGCTCAAGACGGTGGGCTTCCATTAGCATCTCTGCTGGACTGGGTATACTAGGGGAGTCAAGGGGGCTGGGGTGGAGAGAGAAGGGGGGCCCCAGTTTGGGCCTGCTTCATTAACCCAGGGGGAGGTAGCCCTGGCAGGGGACATGGTGACAGTCAGACAGACATGGATGTGAAGAATGAAGACACATGGGGATGATGGTGATGCCCTCCAACCCAACCTGCCTCTCACCTCTCACCCCTCCTTCCCCAGTGCCCCGGCCACCCCCCCGCCCCCAGTCTCCTTGCTGGCCTTCAGTCACACCTGCCCTTGCCAACCTCAGAGCCTTTGCACAGGCTGTTTCCCACACCTGGAAGAGCCTCCCTCTGTTTTGCAAATGGTCCACTCTTTCTTACTGTCTGGGACCCAGCCTGCACCCTCATTAGAGTGGCACCCCAACCCTGCTACTTTTTATGTCCCTCTATGTATTTCTTATCAGCCCTTTCAGCAGTCTGTAATGGTTATTTATTTTTTGGCCACACCACGCAGCTTGTGGGATCTCAGTTCCCCTACCAGGGATTGAACCTGGACCATGGCAATGAAAGCCTGGAATCCTAACCACTAGGCCACCAGGGAACCACCTGTAATGATTTTGTTTATATATTTATTGACCTGTTTCTTCTCTGGCTCCAAATTCAGCCGTGTCTCTAGTGCCATGAACAGGGCCTGACACCGGGCACATATTTGTTGAATGACTTTATGATGACAGTTATAACAACAATCGTAGCTGACACTTAATGCTCACTTGTTCTGGGTGGAGGGTGTGCAGAGTGCCTAACATGTATTGTTTCATTTCAACTTCATGACAATGGTGTGAAGTCAGAACTATTAAAATCCCCATTTTCCTCATGCAGAAACCAAGGTCCAGAGAGGTTAAGTAACTTGCCCAAGATCACACAGCCGGCAGGGTGGGATTTGAAGTCAGATATGCCTGACATCAGGGGAAAGAGGGAGATTGTGGATGCGGGGGAGGCCACTTCCCCGCCTCACCCTGGTGTCACCAGGATGCAGTGGTCCCACCTGCTGTCCTGCGTGGGGCCTTCCCTTCTCTGGGCTGGCCCCCTTCCCAGAACCCCAGGCATTGAACATTCTAGGACTCTATGACCTGTACTGGCGGGTCATGCTGGAGCCCTGACCCCTGGCCAAGGAGCCGGGGCCTTTCTGGGCTGGCTGCGGCTGCAGCTGAGAGAAGGGTCAGGAGGTAGCTATGTCACTTCCCCCGGGAAGCCAGGCGGCCCTCTCCCATCCCAGCCAGAGGGAGCGAGTCCTGAAAGGGGAGTGTGGGGGACTGCGGGGGACTGTGGGGACAATGGAGGGAGAGGTTTCGTCCTTTGGGGGAAGGAGGCGGCCCTTTCCCTGGAGGATGCAGGTTGAAAACTGGTGCCCTGGGGCTGCGTAATTGCTATAGACCAGGCGCACATGGGGCAGGGCTGGTGGACTGGAGGCTCCAGGCTGTCAGAGCTGCTAGTTTTTTCAAACTAGTTGGAAACCTAGGTTTTGGAGCAAACTCCTGGGATGTTTAAAAGATAGCTCATATTTTAAATTTGAAAACCCCATGTGAACCACACAGAACCCAGCAGGGCTGCCCTGTGAACGGGGGTGATGTCCGAGTCGGCCTCCTCCACTGTCCTGGGGCCACAGGGCCCGGCTCTGCTCCACCTTGAGTCCCCATCCCCCTCCCTGAGCAGGTGCTGAATGATGCCCACCCAGCTGCTCCACCGTGCAGATGGGAAAATTGATCCCAGAGAGGGGAAAGGACTCAGCCAAGGTCCTTTGGCTCCTGGGCTTTGCTCTTTCCTCGTGGCCTTGAGGCAAGGCCGCCAGTGTGTTGGGTACAGCGGCCACGTGCTGCTCTTGACACAGTTGCCAGAGCGAGGCAGGGACTATGGAGTCCGCTCCCTCCAGCCCCTCCAGCTGGGTCTGCCCCCGGCCTCTGATGCATGTTAGGGGTCACGGAGGGAATTCGATTTCTTAGCAGCAATTGGAGACTCAGGCTGTGTGGAAATTAACTTTAAGGCCTGGATCTGAGTAAGGGGCCTGGTGGAGATGCTGTCTTTGAAATGCCCCTGCCCCTCAGGGTCCCACACACTTACCTGCCGGGCTTCCCTCTCCTGGATGCAGGCCTGACTTGGGGTCCGAGCCTTCTTTGGTTTGTGTCCCGGAGTTTCCTGGACGAACACTTGAGTGTTGGTCCCTTTTTTGCCTCTGCTTTCCCCACAGTGTCCGGCACTTAGCCGGGGCCAGGAAATGTCTGATGAGTGGCTGGAGTCCTCATCTAGGTGGTTGGCATTGAAGCATCCCCGCCCGCCCTGCCTGCCTGCCTCCCTGCTCCCGCCCTCCCTCCTTTCCTTCCTTCCACAAGGATTTACCACGCCTGGCCCAGCGTGTGCCAGGGTCTGTGCTGGGCACTGGGAACATAGAGGGGGCCAATGGTGTCCTTGTCAGTGATGCGACCTGGCATTTCCGTACAGAGCAATGATAGCGGGAGGCCCACGGCAGCTGCAGGAGCCCAGACCAGGCGCCTGCCCCGGCTGGAGTGAGCCGGGCGTGTTTCTGGAGCAGGTGGCCTCCACGCTGAGTGAGCCTCGAGCCTGCATTCCACAGCCAGAAGAATGAGTCTCAGATGGCAGACGCTGGGGTGGGGAGGCATCCGGGGGGCCCCTCCTTGCAAGGCGTGAGCCCCTGAGAGCCCCTGTCCCTCTCCAGGTCGGCCATGTCATCTGAGCCTCCTCCCCCATCACAGCACCCCACCCACCAGTCCTCGGCCGGGCTGCTGGATACCCAACAGGCCCGAGACCGCTCACCATCCCCGCTTCGGGGCAACGTGGTCCCGAGCCCACTGCCCACTCGCCGGACAAGGACCTTCTCAGCGTGAGTGTCATGCTTCCTGCGACAGGTCGCCTGCGGGGTCCAGAGAGCCTCATGTCCCTGTCTGTCAGATGGGAGACTCGGGGTTGGGAAAGGGCTGATGGTGAGAAACTGGGCAGGCGCCTCGTAAACTGTACGGCGCTGCTCCAGGCCCACTTGAGGCTGTCACGAGCTGGGGGCAAGGATTGGGGATGGCCAGGGGTGGGAAATCGCTGGGGTCTTAAATCATCAGGCTTTAACGACACACAGGCCTCTTCCCCCGTGAGCCCTTGACTTCATCGGCTGCAAAAGGGGGACAGTAGCAGGGTGGCCACGGTGCCGCAGGGGACCCACATGGTGCCTGGGAGATGCAGAGCTCAGGCCAACGAGTGGAGGCTGCTGCTAGCTGCTGCTGCTAATAGCCTTCGGAGGGAGGGATGCGCAGAGAGCTTTTAGTCAGAGGGGGAAACTGAGGCCCGAGAAAACTCTGCCAGCGTCATTCAGAGAGTCATTGTCACCAGGGTCTCTGTGAATGGCTCCCAGAGTCGTGCAGTGCACAACCTGCACAGCTGTACGTGGTGGCCCTGGCCAGGACTCCCTGGGGCACAGCGTGGGTGGGCACTGGGATGAGCTGTGTGTGCCCGGGAAGCCGGGGGCTGTTCTGGAGGGCTGGCGGGGGCCGCTCACGCTTTCTCCTCTCTCTGGCAGGACGGTGCGGGCTTCACAGGGCCCTATCTACAGAGGAGTCTGCAAATGCTTCTGTCGGTCCAAGGGCCACGGCTTCATTACCCCGGCCGACGGCGGCCCTGACATCTTCCTGCACATCTCCGAGTAAGTCAGCGGCCAGTCTGGGTGGGCTGGGTCTGGGGTGGGTGCTGCCGTGGCCCCGAGGAGGCAGGGAGAGCGTGTGACTCTCCTGGGCGCCGGCTATGATGATGGTTGTGCAGCCAGGTGTGTGTGACTCTGCTTGTCTGTGTGTGACAGTGTTCAGTGGTGGGGTCGTGAGCCCGTGGTGGTGGTGGCAGTGTGTCAGGCTGCAGGCGACTGCGTGTGCGCGTGTGTGAGTTGAGATCTGCTTGGGGTGGGTCTGAGTGCTCGTGTGGGTCTGGTGGGTGGGGAGGGGCGTCCCTGTGAGTCTGGGGAGCTGTGTTTCACCTGGCGGCTGGGCTCCTGCACTTCCTCGGGGGAAGCAGGCTGGTGAGGCGGGGGGCTGCCTGTGCTTTGTTCCAGGAAGGAAGTTTGGGGCTGGACCCTTTCTCCTGCCACTTGCTCACGGACGTCCTTCCTTCCTGAGTGTCTGGAAACCCTGGGGCGGGCAGTGGGGGGGGACCCAGGGTGGAGCCCAAACGTCCTTGGTCTTGAGGCTGGAAGGCGTCCAGCAGCCTGTGCTTCACTTCTGATCTTCTAAGCAGCCTGCAGATCTGTGGGGATCCGATTGGCACCCCGACCCGCACCCCAACCCTTGACCTCAGCGGCAGCTCCCCAGTCTTTCCGACTGTGGCAGGCAAAGTCCTTACCCCACACAGCAGACCTTGTCTACATAGAAACCATGTTTCTGAAATTAGGATCCTGTTGCACATGTCTGCTGGGATGGGAGAGTTATCCCTTCTGACCCTCCCCCAACATTCTTACACGCCGGGTCTTCAGTAGACCCCCCGTACAGCGTAGACATGAGGATGACGCTAGAGCAATGCCTTCCACGTATGTATGAATCATACGTGGATGTAGACATGTATCTCCACATTGCCTCTTTCCAGAAAGGATTTGTAGTGGTTGACAAGGATACACACAGTGCACCAAAAAAATTAGAAAGGAAAGCATGGGGTTGGGGGGCAGATAAGAAAGATGGGGATACTGTGATGCCTAGTTCCACTGCTAGAAGTGGGCTACATGTTTATTCCTGAGCTTCCTGGTGGCCAAATCAAAGAGGGCAGCACCATCTGCGATGTTATTCTTCAGTCAAGGCAAACCAGTTCCGGGGGAGCTGACTGGTCTTGGTGCTCAGGATCTGAAGGGGATTTTCCTCCTGGGGTCTCATCACGGGGACATCAAGCTGGGCACCTCCCTATCACGGGTGAGATGGTGACTCATGTCCCATAGAAAGTAAGGGAAATGGACTTTCTGGAAAGCTCACTGGGGTTCTGAGGAGTTGAACAGCAGAGGTGTAGCCTGGTTTCTGGGACTCCTGGACGGGTCAGGGGGTTGGGGTGCTGCTCAGGAAACCCTCACCCAGGCCATCCCCCAACTCGGGCTCAGACTGCCTTTCCCCGCTGTTCCCTCCATCAGGCCCACGGTGCCCTCGTTTAACATGCCATGTGAGCATCCCCAGGGGGTGGGGCTCCATCTCTGTCTCAGCAACCGAGGTCCCAGGGAAGGAGCTGATTGGGTGTGGGGCTCCTTAGCCACGACCAGAGGGCCATGGTGGTGCCCCCTGGTGGCAGGGCAGGGCGGCAGTTTCTCTGCGAGGGCTGGTGTCCTGGCTTCTCTGAGTGCCGGCCCTGAGTGCTCTCTCCCCACCCCACAGCGTGGAGGGGGAGTACGTCCCCGTGGAAGGCGATGAGGTCACCTATAAGATGTGCTCCATCCCGCCCAAGAACGAGAAGCTGCAGGCCGTGGAGGTGGTCATCACCCACCTGGCGCCGGGCACCAAGCACGAGACCTGGTCCGGCCACATCGTCAGCTCCTAGGAGAGGCCAGAGGCGCCCCTTCCCCAGGGCTTGGGGGAGACTCTGGGGCCGGAGGCAGGACCAAACTGGAGAGGACATTCTACCGCTTGAGATGGGGCTTCAAGGGGGGAGCGTGGTCCCTTTCAAGTGTCTCCTGAAGGAAGGGGTGTGGGGTGCTCTCGGCCACCAGCACAGCCTCTCACCATCTGAAAAGCATTAAAAGCATTGAAAAAGGAGAGGCGCCCGCTAGTGGCTGAGTGGAGGGTCTGTCCGAGCCCCACCCGGGACTGGGTCGGGTGGTCTTCCCCAGCCCACAGCCCCTCATCCCTGGAGGAAGGCTCAAAATCCCCAGATCTGGCCCTCTGGGTAGTGACATGGACCCTGCGTGTTTTCCCGGGAGGAATTCCCGCCCAAGCGGCCCCCTTGTGTCTCTCCTCGGCCCTGGGCAGAGCAGGCTTTTCTTTCTGGTTCTCAGCTGGTTGTTCAGGGGGCTGGGAGGGGCGGGGAGTGGGGGGAGGTTGGTACCTTTGCAGCGGGAGGTGTCACAGCTGGGTGTCTGGGAGCCCGGAGTCCTCCACCTGGCAGCGACGTGCTCAGAGGCGAATCCTAACTCTCTTTGAAGGCTGGTCCTTTCTGTCCGTCTTCAGGTTGAGTGATCCTGGCTCAGCAGCCCCGTCACTGAGGTGGTGGGTGGGAGTGGGGATGGCGGTGGGAGAGGGGAGTGTGGAGAGGGGAGGCTCTTTGTTTAAGACCAGACTTTTCTCCGGATCCATCTAGAAAAGAGCAGGTGGTTTGCTTCCTGACAGCCTGGTAAAGTCAGAAGTTGAAGGGGAAATACACCTTTGGTGGGGTTTTCTGGAAAACTGGTGTGAAGCACTGCTTAGGATTTTCTTTTTTTTATTTCATAACTGAAGTTCTCACCAGAGCCAGCTCTGTTTGCACTTCGCTGCTGACATTGCAAACCTTTGTAGATATTTCCAGTAAACAGATCCTTAGGATTTTCTTTGCTGTGGTTTGGTCTGGCTTTAGTTGTGTTTTAAAAATAGCAATAGCTGGGAAATACGTCTTGAAATATGTGGCCTGTATGTAGTCAAGCGTCCATTTGTCAGTGCAGGGAGGCGAGCCCTTGAAAGACAATGACGGCCTAATCCAGTGTCTTAAATCTGGAAATTTCTGCAAGGGGGTGGAAGGCCAGAACTATTTTGCTGAGAACTGGTGGAGTTGTTATTGGTGTGTGTGTGTGTTTGAAGTGTAACTGACCTACAACACTATGTTAGTTCCCTGTGCACAACACAGTGATTTGATATTTTCATACATCACAAAATGACCACTGGAGTTGTTTTAAATAGGCAAGTAAGTGTGTTGGTTTCCAGTATGCAGTGAAACATTGTAGTTAAGGAAGTTGATCCTATTTCCTGGCCTGTCGTGCCCCTCGAAGGGTCCTCCTGCCTCTGCCTCCTGCTGCCCCGCGGTGGCCTTCTCCCCTCCAGCCTTGGATGGTCTGTCCCCAGGTGGCTCCTGGAGACCCGTCTGTTGGGTACAGACCACGCTTCCAGAGCCACTTCCCGAGACCCGTGCAGGCTCCCGGAGGTTGAGAGCCTGCACCTTCCCTCCACCTGCTCCCCCAGGTGTCTCCAATGCCCTGTCCTCACCTTGACACATGGTTGGGGCTCCTTGTGACCTGCCAGCCCGCCAGCGGGCTGGGAGTTGGATCTGCTCTTCTGAGCTAAACTTTGGGCTCTCGCTGTGTAGACTCCTTTGTAAATGGCTCTTGCTCTGTCCTTCCTGGTGACCACATCTTTCTCAGTCAGAGCTGGAAGGGACCCTTCCCCACTCAAGCACAGAGTCTCAAGTTACAGAAACTCCGGAGGCTCTGGGAGGATGGACGGTGTTGGCGACGGAGCTGGGCACAGAATCCGGATTCCTGACTGCGGGTCTCCTCCCACCAGCATCCTTCTCTCAGTAAAGTCTGTTTTGCGTGAGGCTCTGCGTTATGTGTTAATGGGAATCTGGTTGCCAGGGAGCTTTTCCTTGAAGCCAGCAGGTAAGGGCGTCTCCCCAGAGGAGGCTGACAGTCATTCTACTTTGCAGTCTGGTTTTTTGGGGGATGAATAAGAAAATGGGATCAGCCCTCCTTCCTTAATCATCACCCTCGTGCGTAGGCCAGCTTAGCGGTGGGATGTGGCTTCGTGACAGTAGAAAATGCCACTTACGTGGTCAGCTGTGGATAAACGCACTGCTGATGCATTTAAATTGGTACTGTGTGCGCAGAAGCAGTCTGGCCAAGGGCGGTCCAGACGGAGGGAAGTTGGGAAGTGGGAGGGGAGGCAGCCCAGCTTCTTGGTTTCCAGGAGTGCAGCAGGGAGATGCAGGGGGCACAAGAAGCTGCGAAGGTCCTCCTTGGCCAGCGTTTCCCTCGGGAGGTAGATAATGGCTTTGGGCGTGCAGAGGTGAACATCTTTATTGTAAAAATATATTTTCAGAGTGCATTAGGACAAATTATAACCAGCCCATCGAACCTGATTAGGGAAAGGCCGGAGTAAGCACTGAACCCCAAACACATGTGCTGCCATGCGGCTCGAGGGAGGGAGGGTGGGTTTGGTGGTAGCCAGGGTGAGGGGGGCGGGGGGTGGGCAGATGTGGAAGGGAGCCTGGAGGCCTGGCCGAGTTGGCCCTGTCTGGGCAGGAGAGGGAAGCAGCCCTCAGGAAGTGATTCAGGGCCACCTAGGCCACCTTTGCCTCACCCAAATGTCTGCCAAACTTGTTTCTTGCTGGCCCTCCAGTCACTCCCTGCCCGGAAGCTAGACAGACCTACCCTTGTCACACAGATGGGCCTCCCCCGGCCCCTCCCTCGGGATCGAGTTCAGGCTCCTCACTGAGCTTTATATGGGCCTTCCAGCGGCCAGTAGCTGCTAGTGGTCTTTCCCTTGAGGCTTCTTAAGCCCTAGAGCCCGGGGCTAAATACCTGGTCAGCTTCTGCAGTGCAGGGGGTGGGGGCAGGGGGTGGGGAAGGGGAGGAGGAAGCTTTCTTAACAGCCTCACGCTGACCTGGGGCAACCTCTTTGCTTCCCTCTTGCTCAGCATTTAGCCACCATGTTTACATTTCTTGTGATGTTGTCTACCGTCCTGGAACGGCAGAAGGCTGAGGGAATGACTTATCCTCGTCTGTCAAGCAGGGTTGACAGTCCCGTCTTACAGGGTTTCTGGGGATGATTAAGTTAGCGATAGCTCACACTGTTCTAAGTGCTTCACTGAAGTTAACGCGGTTAAGTTACACGTGTGGTAGGGACTATAATCCCATTCGACAGATGAGCAAACTGAGGCTGGGGTGAACTCGTCCTCCATCACACAGCCAGTCTGCAGCAGCTGAACCAGGGTCTGAATCCTGGCAGCCGGCTCTTCCCTGCCAACGACAGAAGCTGCTGCTTTGCGAGCACGTGGAAGGCATCAGCCACTGCTGCCTGCATGTTACTTACCTACTATATTACCTGACGTCCCCACCACGGAGCCCAGCTGCGGAGGCCCTCAGGGAGCGGGGCGGGTGCTGGGGAACACCTAAAGAGAGAAGAGGTGGGATACATGGCCGGGGAGCTTGGACCAGGATAAGACCACCGCAGCAGGGGAAGGATGGCGCAAAGTCTGAAGTCTTTGGAGGTGCGGAGGCAGGTTGAGGGAATTGTGACAGTGTAGGGGAGGGGGCCCAGCCTGATGGCCTCGGGGTACCTACCCAGGGCAGCCCTGTGCAGGGCGGAGAAACAGTGCACCCTTCACCTCATGAAAGTTGGGACAAGTCTGAGTAAGACTCAGTTGTCTCGTTTTGATATATAAGGAAACTTCTACGGAATACTGGATCCTTACCCAGTGGGCAGAAAAGCCTGGAGGGTGGGTCGATGCCAGTTGGAAAGTGCAACCCCCAACGTCGTGGGAACGTCAGCGTCGCAACGAGTGGCCCCTCAGGTCCAAGAGGGCTGAGCTCTTCCCCCAGAATCTGAGAAGATACCAACTCACTTAACTCGAGGAGAAAACAGTAATCAGAAAGAAAAATAGGAAACAATAAAATCACTTTAATTTGCTACTCTTCATTTTGAAAGATCATTACAGTATTGTGTAAAATTCAGCCAGGAAGGATGCCACAGGACGGCACAGTCCTGGGAACCAGTGAGAACTGTCACCCCAGTGTGTGGCCCTGGGCAGGTGAGGGGGCTGACCTCGCAGCCTGGCGCTGATCCTGAGCTGAGACAAGCCGGTCTGGGGGAGGGTTGGGGGGAACCAGGTTCCTCTGTGATGAAGGTACCTGGTGGGGGCAGAAAGGTGGGCTGCTCAGAGCACCTCTGTAATCCCCACTTCAGATTCAGGTCTGCAAGCCCCCAGCAGAGGCCATGCCTGGAGTGACGCCGGCCCCGGCACTGGCCTGTGGAGGAAGATGCTCAAAAGCACACAGGAACCGTTTTCTTGGAAAGCTCTCTTCCGTGTTCTGTGTTGTGGACGAGGCTCCGAGCTGCCTTCCAATTATACAAGGAACTTGCAGAAGGCGGGAGGGAGGAGTGAGGGTTGCAGACCCGACCACGGCAGCTCCGAGGGCCTGGGTGGATGGGCTTATTCAAACATCGGCAGAGAAACGGTACAGCTCCTGATCTGTTAGTTCAGGCTCTCCCCTGATCCCTGACGAACTAGGGCAAACAGGCCCTGGGGACAGCAGGAGGAGGTTCTTTGGGTGTAGTGTGATCGCCTCAGTTAGTCTCTGGGCCTGGGCTTGGAGCTGCGTCCCGGGAGGGCCATGTGCCAGTTCTCGGCGGGGTTGTTGGTTCCACTGCCTCTGTCCCAATGGCTAGGAAACCAGCGGGCTCTTCAAAGTGTAGTGGATACAGAGCTACCCCTGCTTCCTGGGCCAGCTAGGTGCAAAGTCCCTGGGGTCAGTGGTCACTCGGCCAGCGCTTTCACGGGGGAGCTTCATTTCTGGAAGTGTTTTTAACCGTGCCCCAGGGTCAGATCATCATAAGCATCTTGTCCTTTCTTTCTCATCACCAAAGCCCCCCTCCTGGTATTGATGCAGAGGGTCCCAATGTGAGTATCTGTTACGTTTCCCACAAGACCCATGAGGAAAGAGGGGGTGTCCAGGCACACTCGTTCTTCCTGTGTCATTCTAGAATGATGGGAAAGTTTAAAAACAAAACCCCCAGGTGTGCTGTGATCGCACGTATCAGGGCAGGGCTGGGGGTCCTGAGACTCGGGGTGGGGACAAAACCCTCTGTTGGAGACAGTCCTCTGAACCATTCTTGACAAGCCTTTTCTTCTTCCTTCTGGCTGCTTCTAGCACTGGAGGCGGAGGGCCATTTCCCTGCTGAGTGAGGACCCGAGTGACAACTGTACAGTGGGCTGGGGGTGGGCGTGGTGGGACGCCCCTCCCACGGGGAGAGGGATGGTCAGCAGAAGAGCTCCTCACAGATCCTGCGTGTGTCCTCGGGCGCCGTCACGGTGTAGCCCACCGTCCTCGGGTCTGTGAAGATCTCGTGGTCGTTCCCGCCCTGTGAAGACACGGCGCAGTTGCAGGCGCCACCTGGCTCCTCCTGGGCCAAGGCTGTTGCCACCCAGGGGCCTGGGGCTACCAGAGAAATAGGACCAGAAATGAGGACCCTGCGATTTTACCAGGTGGGGAGCATCTCTTCAGGCACCTTTTCTTAGCCCCCAGGAGAGAAACAACAAGGGTACTGTCGTACCAAAAAAGGGTTTTTCACCTTCCCTTGAACTGCAGTTTAGCTTTGGAACATGCAATTATGCCTGTGAAAAAAATCACGATGTTCCCGTGAAGATCTGTCTAAGGCTTATTTTTCTATCAAGAAAGCAGAATTCTCACCACCATCCATTTGTTTTAACCGCATCCAAACTTTCCTAACAGGTCATGGGGGACTGTAGGAGGGCAGACAGTCCAGAGCAGCACTGCCCTTGAGACTTTCTGTGACGACGGACATGGTCCACCTCTGAGCCGACGGAGGCCACACGTGAGGCCTGTGACAGAGGGACTGAGTCTGATTCACTGAAGTTTAAATAGGCCCACGTGGCTGGAGTCTGAGCCTGGTGGCCTGGGCTCAGATCCTGGTGTAGCACCGGTGAGGGGGTATGTGGGCAGCTCCACATCTGTGAAATGGGGATCGTGGTGGAACTTCGCCCAAAGCACCGAGGCCATTGGTGGACGCGCAATCCTGGGGCAGCCCCAGCACGCAGCCAGCACCGCTTCCTAGCGTTTTCATGCTTCCTTCCCCCTGGTGAGCCCCTAGGAGTTGAGGCCCAGTCTGGAAGGGGCCAGGCATGCTGGGTGCAGGGGGTCCTGTGACTGTGGATCACCTAGTCTGTGCTGTAGCCCCTTCCCCAGTCCCGCCCATCTCAGGGGAATGCTGCTTCCACAACCCACAGCCCTGCAGGAAAGCCCCTGCTTAGCTTCTCATGGAATTTCCTGTATTTTCCTCATAACATTGGATAAGCAGTCTAACGCAAAATCTTGAAAAAAAATCAATTAGTTTATAATGTGATGAAAATCACTGCAGAGAAAATGGATTTTTTCATAAAACACAGAGCATGAAGCCAGTATGGAGAAAACGATTCTGTACGAAAATGACATCCTTTTAAACAACTGACACCTGAAATTATGGCTGCTCTCATCTTTGTAAGAACCACCCACCCCCAAGCAGACGGCTTCCCTAGGAGAAGGTGAAGTTCATAGACCTCATGAGGGACTACTGCCTGGGCCCGAGGCACGCTGGGTGGAGCCATGTTGGGAGGCCATGATCTTGGAGCCACACTGGGGAATGTTCTTACCCAGAAGCCTGCCAAGCCTTGCGCGGGCCTCATGAATTTATGTCCTGTGAAGGGGCTCTGGTCACTCAGCTGGCCCCCAGTTCATGGCCAGCATCTCCTGAACAAGTACACGTGAAGACAATTCTTACGACAAAAAAAAGCTTTCTCTTAGGAACGGCCCGGTGTGGGGAAACCAGCACAGAGCACCTAACCAAGCAAGCAAGAACTCCTGCTCTATTCAGAAAAACCCAGCACCCACCTGGGGACACTTTCACTCCAGTGTCACTCACTGACCCTGGAGGGAGGGGTTAGTCTTCACGGATTAACCCAACAAACCTTGTGCAGCGCTCACTACCCTCCAGGCATGGTCTCAGAAGCTGGAGATACAGTGGCAAACAAATGACGTCCACCTAAGGGCTGCCTTCCAAGCTTACATTTAAGATGGACATAAACAGCTCTGTGGATGCTTTGCCGGCATCTGCAAAGAATAAGGGGAGGGGACCAGGGTGACAGGGGAGACGCCTTTGAGCAGAGGCCTGAAGGAAGAGAAGGGACAAGCCCTGTGACTGCCCATCCGGGAAAGGCTGCCAGCCAGGCTAGAGCCTGCTGGGCTACAGCCTGCCGGGGAGGGGCCAGGCCGTGAGGCCTCGCAGGTCGAGATGAGGACTTGGGATTTTATGTGAAGCCTCCAGAAAGCCAGGAGCCAGGCTTCACACCATCAGGTTCACTTCACAAGAGGAACTTTCTGGAGAATGGATGGGGGATGAGGACTCAACAGCGGAAGCAGAGGAGAGTCAGGAGGCTCCAGCCCCCAGCCAGGGTGCAAGGCAGACAGAAGCCACTCTCTGGGGAGCAGGACCTCTGGAGCAGCAAGGCTCACAGATGCCACGCCTGCCCCAACCTGGAGAGGGTGTCCCAGGTGCCCAAGAGATGCCTCACCTGACAGAGGGCCTGCTGGTGGCGACGGCGGGGAGCTGTCCGTGGAAGGAGGCTGAGCCCTGCTGCCTTGTAAGCCACTGATTCGTACCAAAGCCAGGTCCAGAGATTCCGATCGCCCGGGAAGGAGAAACCTCCTGCAGCCCGGTGGGGCCCGCTGCTCTCAGAGGGCAGCAAAGCTGCACTGCCCGCACTGCCCCCATCTCCTGCAGGGCAACTGGCCTCAGAGCGGGCGGGCTCCCTCCTGGGGCTGCACAGACCTTGCAAACCAGACTCGGAGTGAGGTCGGGAGAAGCAGAACCAAACCACCAAGCTAGTGAGTGCCACCCACTAGAAAAATAAGGCTACAGTGAATAGGAAACTTCAAAACTGGATTTGCATGTGCACCAAAGGTTACTGGATTCCTGCTGGGCAGGCTCAGCCACCCACAAGCTCCAAAACAAAGCTCCTGTTTCCTGGGAGGAGACGGAGGGAGGGAAGAGGCGAAGGGATGAGTAAGTGATCATGTTTCCGTTAAGGTGTACCTGGCAGGCCCAAAGTAGAGGCCCCGGATCAGCGCAGGCTGCCCATTAATGTTTAATCCCTACAAGGCCAAGGTCTGGGCCGACGGGAGGAGGGTCGCAGCGCAAGCTGATTTTCTTGCATCAGTGTCCCTGGCCGCCGCCGGCTGCGTGCCCTGCTCCAGACACAACTCCCAGGGGGTCTCTGCTGTGTGGATACCTGCCCGCGGCACAGGCAAGCTCTCTAGCTGCACATGGACGTTTATCTCGGGTAGTTCAATAAGCACTTAGCCAATTTCTATCCATTATGGGTACAAAGGCCACCAAGACAAAGGCTCAGCCTTCAAAGATCCCAGAGCAGGGGTTCTCCCCTGGCTGCAAGTGACAGTCACTGCAGGAGCTTTAAAAATACATCAATAAAACTGGGAAAGAACAAGAGACATGGGGGCCAAAGGCCCAGGATGCACTAAGAGCTCCCGTGCCTGGGTGTCTCTGGCCACAGGAGAGCTGGGTGCCCAGGGCTTATGCAGGAGGCTGGGGACCTGATGACTGCGGTGTGCGCTGCTCTCCCAGTATGTCAGAATTAGCTGTGGATGAAAACAACCTCAAACAACTTTCACGTTTAAAAATGAATGCCCTTAGATAACTGTGCTGATTTTTTTCCTAGAAAGAAGTAAACAGCTATGGTCAAAAACAGCCTGGCCCCAGGGTCATGAGGTTTTGAAAGCGATCAGGTGACTCCAATGTGCCTCCAGGGCTGAGGACCAGCAGCTCAGAATCTAGTGATGACCAGGCTAGGGGTGGGGCTGACGCCCCTGGGTGACTGCCCCTTAGAGTCTGGTGATGGCTCCGGCACAGCTCCCCTCATCCGTAAAACGGGGTTCAGAGATGCGTGAGGGGCCCTGGCACGGGAGCACATCGGGGAGATGCTAATGCTGTGGACACCAGTGAGCCCTGGGGGCCCGAAGCCTGGGTCTCCCTGAGCAGGAGCGTTGGGGTGAGGGATGCTCCTGCCTTGGGGTGGGGCTGGTCCACCGTCCTGTTCTCTGGACCAACGAGGCCACCAATTCTGGGGTCCGGAAGGAAGGCAGGCCCCCAGTGGACACAAGGGACCCATGGTTCCCCTGCACAGCATCTGGCTTCCTGTCCTCCCGCAGGGGGCCCGGGGTTCTCAGCAGGGTTGAGAACCTCTAATCTGGTCCATCCTCCTCCAGGAGGCTCAGACCACAAGGAGTGGCGATTTGCCCTGGGTCCCTCCAGGAACAAGCGACCCCCTCACCACGCTAACCTAAGCCTGCCACCAGCCACACAAGACCTGGGTCTCAGATTCTGCCACAGAAACAAACAGTCAGGTAAGTCTGTCCCAAGGACACATTCTGCACTTTTGTTAGCCCTAAGGAGCCTTGGGAGCCCTGGGGATGCCAGGAGATGCCGGGAGATGCCAGGCACGCCGAGGAAGCCCAGGCCCCGGCCAAAGGCCTAACAGAATCTCACGGGTCGCTGGGTACCACTCAGAAGGGCAACCTGTCACCCATCCCGCAGGCCCCCAATCTCACAGAGCAACCTCAGTACTAGGTGAGCCTTATCACAACTTCCTTAAAAGCAGGGGCCTCTGGATGCAGGCCAGGCAGGCCCGCCGCTGGGAAAGAGGCACATCCCCAACTGCCTTCCCTCTAAGACCTCTCACTTTGTTCGGTCCTTTGGAAGCTGACCCACAACCCCCTGGACCGCCCGGGGCACTGAGGCTTAGACAGACTCACGTGTGGTCACCGCGCCGGGCTTTTGAGGGGCCGACTTCGGTGCTATGGGTTTCCAAGCCTACCACCTCATGCTGACTGTAAAGGATGAGCAGCCTTAGTGTTTTGGAAGTGAGAGGGGAGAATAAAAAGGGCATGGGCTTCCAGACCGCACTCAGCGAGCAGCTGGCCCTCTGCAGGGCCCCCGCATTCCCCGCCTCCCCCGGCTGGTGGCAGCGTGGAAGTGTCCTGCTCAGGGGTGACGCTGAGGAAGCACTTGAAAAGCTTCGTTCCCTTCCTCTTTTCAATTTGACATTTTTAAGTTTTACTTTTCAATAGACAGCACCTTCATGCAGCTCAAAAATTTAAAAACAGGGTCTTGTCACAGCGGTAAGTCTCTCCCATCCTCGTCCCACCCCCACGGTAACTCTGTAATTTTGGGGGTACCCTTTCAGACCCCCCGTGTGCACTTACAAGCAGACACAAAGAGAGATGATTTCTCTGTGTTTACACAAAAATGGAGCCTCTTACCAGCACTGCTCCACACCAGCTGTGCTTATGCTACCTGGCATTCCGCTGTGTGGCTGGACCCCCGTTTATTTCTCCATCTCCTGCGAAGGGCGGAGTTGTTTCTGGCGTGCCCCTCTCTGTAGCCCTTTCTACACAGGTAGGAGTGAACTGAGAGCCGAATTAACCAAAGTGGAACTGCGGAGTCACACCCATCAGTGGGTAATGCTCACCAAGTGTTCCAGTGGGTTTTCACGTCGCCCCGACTTCAAGTCCAGATGTTTTTTACAAGAAGCATTAAACAAGCAGAGGCACTGCTGCCTGGGAATTCGGCAAGGCTGGGGCTGAGCTGGCAGGCGCAGCCCCCTGGAGAGCCAGGCAGAGCAGCCTGGGTGCATCTTCCCAGGCGCTGGCCATCTCCCTCCCCGCGGCAAACCGAGCCCCCCCACCCCCACCCGCTACTCCCACCAAAGGCCGGGCCCAGGGCCTGTAAGCTGCCTGTTGTGGCTGCCGGGACGGATGAGGGAGTTTCCAGGACTAAGGAGGATTCAGAAGAGCCAGGGGCAGCCTCTTCCCTCTTCCCTCTGCTCTCTGGAGGTGCTCAGGGCGGGGGCCGGGGAAGACATGGGGGACTCGGTGCAACATCAGGCTCCGGCCGAGCTGCCGGGCAGGCGTCTAAGCCTGAGCTTGGCAGGGAAAGGGCTTTTTACTGACAGCGCTTAGCTCAGGTGCTGTCTCCCTAGAAGCCGGCAAAAACATTTTGCCTTGGCGCAAAGAAAGAAAACAGCTTTCCAAATATCTATCACTGAATACGAAAAGAAACTTAAAGCTAGTATTTGGATTGCTCAGTGCCTCAGGCTGTTAAAAGATTTAGATGGCTGGACTGCTAACTCCCATCTCCAGGAAACCACTGATAAAAAAGATCAGAGAGGAGGGCAAAGAATGATGCAAGAGCGTTTACTACAGTGCTCGTGACGACAACAAAGAGCCACAAACCCAAAGGGCCTCTGCTAGGGAAATGGGTAAATAATCTGTGCCTAAATGCTAGAATGTTATACGGCCATTAAAAGCTTGTTTCAAAGAACATTCCCCGACGTGGGGGGAACGAAATATGTTAAGAGAACAAAAGCAGAAACCAGTGAACACACCGTGTCCCACATTTGGGGTCATATACATTGCAAAGAGGCTGAGAGGCATGTCAGCTGTGATTTACAAGTGACTTTTCCTTTCTTCTTCATGCTTTTTCTAATTTTCTACAATGAATACCTATTAATTAAGAATGGGCAGGAACCTCCCTTCGATAGTATCCATTTTTTAAAAGTAGGTAAGATTAAAAAAAAACAAAAACTGACGTGTGGTAATACAGTGGTTAAACAGAAAACTCTCTAATTCCCAAATGAAGAATTCCCCAAAGATGCTGTTTTCTGATTATCTCAAGACCTGCATTCCATCCTGCAAAGTCCCAGCTGAGGCGTCATCATCACAGAACAACCTGCCTCAGCCCCTCTGAAGGGCTGTCTTCTCAGCCTGCAGGAATCAGCCCAAAGCCGGGAGGATGGGGGGGGGGGAAGACGGGGGACCGGCGAGGGCGGCTCGTGGGATCCTAGTTCCTCGACCAGGGATTGAACCTGTGGCCCCCTGCAGCGGAAGCGTGGAGTCCTGACCACTGGATGGCCAGGGAATTCCCCCAGTTTTATAATCTGGAAAGCAGGACATGAGACTATACTATCCAGAAGCCCCTTTCACGCTGGAAGACTAGCACGTTGAGATCTTACTGAAAAAGGCAGGTCCACACAGGAGAGACCATAGCAAAACAGCACGCATTTTGGGTGGACCGGGGGTTGGAGGGATTAAAAACTCCATCCATGCAGCCTTTCTGCTGCTGCAGTACAGCCACAAAGCCTGAGACAGGAGCCTGACGGCAAGGTAGCTACCACCACTGGGTGGCCCGTGAGAGGAAAGCAGAGAGGCACGGGGGGTGCAAGAGGAAGGTAAAGGGAGGCGGCCCCGGGCTGGGCAGTGACCATTGGGGGCTGAGCCTCCTCTGGGCCTCGATGGCGACAGAGCCCCTCCATCCAGCCCCTTGGGGACCCACCTGTCCTAAGGAGAGCCTCGCCTGCTACCTCGGTGGCTCTGGGGAAATTCCTCCTGCTGGCCTCTCAACACCTGGCTCTGCTCTCAGTCCCCAGTTTATTATTTTGGCCGCGCTGAGAAGCTTGAGGTATCTTAGTTCCCCGACCAGGGACTGAACCTGTGCCCTTGGCAGTGAAAGCGCCGAGTCCTAACCACTAGACCGCCAGGGAATTCCCATCATTCCCCAGTTTAGATTTGGTCCCGGACTTGGGATTTCCGACAGCCCCCCCGGGACAGCCTCCTGTGATGTGATGCCCAGGCCTGACCCCCCATCTCTCATCTCTCCTGAATTCCAGACTCACGAGACTCTTGGTCCTCCTACCATTTAGGACTCCTAGTGCGCAACCTAAATGAACGCCCCTGGGGAAAAAACACGGAGGAAACATGAAACAAAAACTGCAAGGGCTTTGAAACACAAAGAGGATCTGATGACAGCACTGGGTCTCATTCCGGAAGGTGCTCGAGGTGGGTGACACTTAACTCAAAGCCAAACTGAAAGGCTCCATCCTTGCCTTCAGAGGTGTCGGGTGTCTGAGCGCAGAGAAGAGGGAGCTCCATCACCCCCCTCTCATAGGACAGAAGCCATTACTCAGTTTGAGCTGGGCTGCCAGGTGAAGTGTGGCTGGGGGCAGAAAAGCCCATCTGTCCGCTTTCCCCCTCTTCAAACCCAAATTGAACAATGAAACTGCAAAAACACTTCCATACTTACTGGCATGGTTTTGTCACCAAAGAAATAAATGGTCTCATAGCCATCCTTTTCCACATGTCCCAGGCAATACCTCTTGTCCCATCCATCAGGGAAGACATCAAAGCTGATCTGACCTCCTGCCGAGCGGGGAGGGAGACACACAAGCTAAAGGTGAAAAGGAGGCTAATGATATGTCACTGAAAGAAAATATGCCCTTTGATCTTGTCGGCAACTGGAGTGCCAAGGTCGATTTTTATTACCTCAGTTTGCTAATTACAATACTTTACGGGTAGGTTCTAGAAATCAATTCTTGCATGACTTTTTTTTTCTCCATCGTGATTTCACCTAAAACCTAAAAATCTAAAGTCTAAAAAAGAGACACAGAGTGCTGATTCAGAGTGAGACCCACAATGGCTTTGCACCCGAGCGGTCTTCAGAGCGCGCTTAAACGAAGCCCAAAGCAGGCCGGTGAAAGAGCTGCGAACAGCTTTCTTCAGCCGTGCTCCCCTGGAGCTGCACTGTGTGCTAGGCGGAGAGGCCTGGGAGCGGGATGCATCCAGCTCGTTGTGCAGGAAAATGAAAATCCCACGGACGGGGATTGCCAGGCAGCTTTCTTGGGCAACAAAAACCCTTTCAGAGCTGTGTCAGGGAAGATGTTCATCTCACAGTTCAAGGATACTTAACAAGCCACCCATTCATCTTTTACACAGAGGCCCTCTGCAATTCCAGTTTTCTGGCAAGCGTACGCTTATTTGAGCCGGTGAAACGAGAGGGCTGTAAGTATGGCTTGTCAGCACTGACAGCAGAAATCGGCCTGTTTAAAGCATTTGACAGGCATATTCCACCAAAAAGCGAGGCAGAGACATCAGCGGTGCAGGAAGAGCTCTGCATCAGACACTGGAAACGGCCGCGTGCTGGCCTGTCACTATGAACAGAAATTTCGTGAACCTAGACAAGTGCCTTCCCCTTTCTAGGCCTCGGCTTCTTGATTTGTAAAACCAGCCCAAGTGACTTCGAAGGTTCCTTGCCATTTGAACATCACAGGATTCCAGAACACATTCAGTCTACTTGATCTAAGAGGCCCTGTCCCACCTCTCTCCTACAGTCACCCACGAGCTAGCTGTCTTCTGCCCAAAGGTGTGGGGATAAGTTCTCACTCTTCATTAAGCAATCTTATTTTTGACTAGAAGTGCAGGCAGGAAAAATCCTGCTGGCCGAGGATTTAGAACCAAACCCAGCAGCGTGGAAGTCATCTCCTAACCTGAGTCTCGGCTAGCGCTGATCAGGCAGGAGGGCAGTTTCCTGCCACGGACGGCCCAGCTGCAAACTCGTCACCGTCCAAGTTCAAGAGCACACCGGCCCACAACCACCTCCCAGCAAACAGCTCCCAGACAGAGCCTGAAGCCCGCTTGAATGCGTGATACCTATGGAAAACGTGAGGCCTTTCCCTGCAAACTCTCTCCGCAGATCCTCCACGAATTTCTGTCTTATACTTTCTTTCTGAGGAAAACAAAAAGATACCAATAGTCCACTGCATTAGAAGCACACTTTCTTGGCCGCAGAGATGCACACCACACGTCCATACACCCCGGCTATTTCATAAAGACTCACTTGATCCAGCTCGTAGAACTCAATGCGTTCTTCTTGGCTGCAGCTTCTTCCGACGGGGGACACATTCAACATCCCATTTCGGAATTCGATGAAAGTACCCCTGGGGAGGAAAAGGGGACGGAGGTCCCAGAGATACATCATTTATTTGAGCAACACAACAGATGGACAGACAGGCTAAAAAGCGGGCCAATTCCAGGGACGTCCCTGGCGGTCCAGTGGCTAAGACTCCGCACTTCCACTGCAGGGGGCATGGGTTCAATCCCTAGTCGGGGCATTAAGATCCCGCATGCCGAGGCGTGGTCAAAAAAAAAAAAAAAAAAAGTGGGGCGATTCCGATGGCAGAGGCGGGTGTGATCAGTCTTTGGTGGTGCTGTGCTGGGCCATGTGGCGGCCACGAGCCTCACGTGGCTAGAGAGCCCTGAAAACTGTGGCTGATCTGACCTGAGATCAGAGTTCACAGATTTCGTATGAAAAAGGAGTATAACCATCATTGACAATGCTTTATACTGACTATATTTGAAATGACTATAGTTTGGATATAGTCAGTTAAATAAAACATATTAAAATCAATTTCACCTATTCCTTTCCGTTGTTTTTTTTTCGTTGTTTTTTTTTTAAACATGGCCACAGAAAGCGGAAAAAACGGCACATGTGGCTCATATTACATTTCTGCTGGACGGTGCTGCTCTTGACAGAGAATGTTATAGTTAACAAAGAGCTATGAAAATGATTACTAGCTCTTCAAGTTCCCTGAGGAATTTGAAAGTATATGTCCCAGAAACCTTTGCAAGTGACCTAGTGAAATGCTGATTTTTACCAAGAAAAACAACACAGGAAAAGCTGCTGAGGATCCCCAGGTGAGCCTCAGTAATAATACTTCAAGGACACACGCCAGGCGTGGGGCTGGGACCAGATTCCACGCCAATGCCGCCACTTACCAGGGACCCTGGGCACCGCTGTGCTCTGAGCTCAGAAAGGGGCTAATGGCACTTGCTCTGAGCCCCCCTGAAGGGGCTCCTGAAATGAAAAGTACCAGTTTATCTAAAAAACTGGGAAGCAAGTAAAGTAAAAATAGCAGTATCTCCATCACTGGATCCTTCCTCTGCTGTGTTCAACTTGCAGAAAAAGAGGCAAACGATACAACAACGTATGTGCACCTAAGACACTTTTTCAAACACCCCGTCCCGGTTGTCCTGGACTCGGTACAGACCAGCCTGTCGCCTATACCTTCTACATCTACACTGGGGTATGGGGCCCTGGTGATCATTCCCAGGGGGGATACTAGGCCTGTGGGTCCTAAACTGTCAGAAAAAGAGGTCATGCCCAAGGCAGGGAGGGAGGTTGATGCACTGTAGAAAGGCTTCTGTTCTAAAAACCAGGACTAAGGCGGTTGATCAAGCATTCACTTCCCCCCGAAGACCTGGACAATGTGACGTCTTACTACACTTGCCTGGCGTGTGTGGGACATAGCATTAGACCCACGAGCAATGTGGGTAAACGCCGATCAAGGAGGAACTCAGCTCTGCCTTCTGAATTCACCGCGTATCTCAGGCTAATTCGGAGTCACAGCTCTGCACGCTGGGCCCTCTCACTAGATGACATCTTCTTTGGAGGACAGGAGTGTATCTTATCCTTTTTTTATCCTCCCTCAATGCTCAGCCCAAAGTAAAGACTGAAATGACCTGGGGTACGTTATATGTTCACTTTCTACAACGGAGAATTTCTAATATACGTAAAAGTCAACAGCACAGGATAAGGAACCCTCACGGGCCGTCTCCCAGCTGCCAGAAAGATGGACTTCGGGTCCCTCCTGTCTCATCCATCCCCCTTCCTGGGACAGATGTGAAAAAGGAAGCCCCTGCCCTCCGAGAGGAGGTGCCGAGCAGGGGTATCTGTTTCGGAAATTCTGGAAACAGGTCTCGAGCACTCTCGAAACTCCAGCATGTCTTGAAATTCAATCACCCTTTAAGAAATGTTTCACCCTCTAATCATTAGGGTGTTACACATTAAGTGCAGAAAACCGAGAAGATGAAAAGTATTTCAAAGAAACCACCTGAAATCTCATTACCAAGAAACAACCACCATTAGCATATGGTCCGTTTTCTGCCAGTCTTTTAACTGTGGGCATGTGTGCACATTACTGTTGTTATTATTTAAAAATGGGAATTGAGATAACAGTATTCAGAACAAGAGGTAGGTTCCCGAATCAAATGCCTACCGAGGCCAGAAAAATGAGACAAGTGGCCCGTGAAAGACTGGGGGATGGGGAGGGGGCAGCGCTGCCCGCCAGGCTGCTGCCACCTAGGAGGGAGCATCGAGCTGCCGGGTTTTCAGATGCTGCAGAAGCCGGAAACCCAGGTATTTTAAAGTGTGAAATCAGACTTTTAAATGATAGCACTTAATGCAGATTTTACTGAACACCAGGGGCCAACTGAACTTGGCTTTGCATGGGATTTGGCCTGGGGGCCTCCGGTTTGAGACTCCTGAGCTGGGGCCTGGGCTGATGCTGCTTCTCCCACACTGCTGTTTCACAGGCATGTGCCTTAACTGATAGCCTTTGAAAGCATATAGTTTTCAACTTCCGTCACGTGGATGCACCATCATTTATGTAATCATTGGTCTACCGCTGGCTTTACAGAAGGTTTCCAGTGATCCCTTACTAAGCACCGGGCTTTGGAGTTAAGTTGGCTCCAACCCACCAGATGACATCACGCCATATTCCAGTGGCGCTTCTTTGCTAAAAGCAAACCCACCTTTTCTTCGGGAGTTTAATTTTCGCGATGTAGCTCAGACAGTAGTTGATTAAATCCTGGATTAGGGCCTCACCCAGGTGACCTTGAATGTTCTAGATAAAGAAAATACTGGAGTTAACTTGACACAGTGGGAGGCCTTTTCAAAATGGCTTTCCAGCAAACCCAGGTCTTCAGCCTCTGTGGCTGGAGGGTCACCAAGCGGTGGTGGGGACACACCCCACTGCCTTTCTCCTTTTCTCCCTTTTTCTCTGGTTGAAAACATTAGGCAAACCAGAAAGGGCCTCGGTCAAAACCATTTTCTGCCTCATTACTCAAGATTTTTGTATTCATATCTCTCAAGTGCTTCCTGGAAGCCCCGAAGAGTTTATTGCTGCTGCCTTTTATTCAATTAAAATATCTGCAGACACTGATAGAAAATATATTTGTTCCACTTTGGCTTCCTCTTACATCTGAACAGAACGGCCTTAATGGTAATAAGACCTACACGGTACCTCTTAGAAATGCTTGCAGCAAGGCAACTTGCCCTAGTCTTCGCTACCATAATAGAAATATTAGATTAAGTAACCTTGAAAAACAATTATAAAAATGTAGTTAACAATTTGGAATGTGTACTAGTCACATGGTTCAATATCCAAAATGTAAACAATACAGGGTGAAGATTCATTACCACTCTTCTCCCAGATATAACTCCCTGGAGGCATTCAATATCAAATACCTTTTTAGAAAACATTTCACTAGTAGTACAGAGTAGTTTGGATACTTGCAAACCTACCTGTTTGCACAAGAGTTTCCCATCTTTGTATGCTACCAAGCCATTTTCTGGAAACACATAATCATATTTTTCAACCACTGCCAACAAAACAAAATTGAGAACGCAATGAATTGGACCCTGTGTTTCTATTTCTTGATTAACACTAATCGTCAATAAAAATGCTAAACTCCAGTAATGACTGAGAAAGGCTATCTCATCTTAACAGATTGGGAGGGTGGAAAAAAAGCTCCTTAAAAACTTTTTAAAAAAGGCTCTTCATTATAAATTTAAAAGATGACAATTAGGCTGCAGATTGGAGACTTGGTGGGCACCTCAACGATGGCTCCCAAACCCCACTGTGAATCTGCATCACTGGGGCAGTGATGAAAATCTGCAGAGTTCCAGGCTCTGCTCCCAAGGTTTCTGAATCAGAATCTGCAGAGGCCAGGTTAAGAATCAGATTTTGTTTTTTAAAGCTCTTCAGGTGATTCTTATATTCATTCACATTTGAAGACCACCCACATAAATCTTAATGGAGCCTCAAACTCTAGGTGCTTGCCAAAATGCAGATTCCCAGGCACTATGTGTTGGGTGGGGCTCCCACATCTCCATTTGAATGAGCTCCTCAGGTGATTCTGATACAGGTGGGTCTTCCACTTTCTTCTGGCTCGCTACTGTTTTGATTCTGGAGTTTCCATTCTTACTCTCTGAAATGTAAGACGCTGTGCTGCACTGACAAAACCTCTCTGAGCCTGTGGTTAATTACGTGACCAGAGGCAGAAAGGGCAATCAGGACCAGGTAACAGGATCCCTGGGTCTTAATGTGTCCCATTATGTTGTTTATAGCGTTTCTAAACAGAGCACCTACAAGGAAAATTAAGTGTAACCAGAACAGAGAGTTTTAAAGGCACTACACAGATCCCTCTTTCAGTAACTGGTTCAATAAATACACCCCACACAGATTTGCACTGTAAGATATTACATCTAGAACAGTGGTTCTCAACTGGGGGTGATTTTGCCCCCTGGGGACATTTGGCAGTGTCTGGAGACATTTTTGGTTGTCACACTGGGTGTGGCAGCACTACTGATATCAAGTGAGTAGAGGCCAGGGATGCCGCTAAACATCCTACAGTGCACAGGACATAGAGAATTACTGGCCCAAAACGTCAACAGTGCCAAAAAGAATGCTCAATCCATCTCTCTCTCTACCTGCTATTTCTTATAGGCCAGGCACCCTGGAGGCCCTAGGGCCATGGAGATGAATAATCCATAGCACTAGTCTTCAAGCCAAACATAACCAGACAGTTTCCAATAATCAGAGTGCTACACCCACAGCACTAGACTCTCTTCGAGGGTAGTTGCTAAAGTATGATTCCCATGCCCTACAGACCCATGCCCTTCAGAATCTCCAGTGAAGGGGCACGTAAGAATCTCCACCTTCCTGGGGTCCTGGGCTTGAGATTCTGGTTCACTAGGTGGGGAGGAGCCTGGGTGCCTCCCGACTAGGGAACTCTGGGGAACACTGCGATACGGCAACAGAGGGAGGCATGAAGACCCGGAGCACCCCTCAACACCTGGGTGAGAAGGACGTCAGGAGATGGGGCCCGAACTGAGGCCAGAAGGGCAGTTAATGGGGACCAACAGGAAGGACTGCAGGCCGAGAAACAGACACCCATCTTTCTAGGTGAATCTGTCCATGTATCCGAGTACCAACTGTCCCACTAGCAACTCCAGAAATTTATTTATAGGACTAAAAACAGAGGAAAAATAAAGGCAGAGAAAATGTTTCCCCAAACAAGGAAGCAGGAAGCCTGAAGCCTGCCACACGGGGATGAGGGCTCGGGGCTCCTGTGATACTAAATGGCAACAGGTCCCAACGTCCTCATGAGAAGTTGACCTTTTACCAAAACGTAGCCAGCAATGTGGAGTTTACCATCGTTTCCCAGTTGCTCCTGTACTTTCTCAAAGTCCGACCCGCCTACGACTCCAACTTTGATCTTCTGCCTCAGTTTTTGTAGAAAGCAATCCATGTCTTTGGTAATTTTCTGCGTTTCAAAAAGAAAAACACAACAGTCAAGAGCCACGAAGTAATCGGGAGACTAAAATCCCAAGAGTGATACAACCCTTATTTTTATAACTGCCAATTTGGTTTCTAGGTCTACAGATAAGACCCACTATTTAGTCGTGCTTTTGGGACATCAACTTTTTTATCGGAAAAAAACTTGTTAAATTTTACTTATTTTTACCTAGTTTAAAACACACAAGAAATGTATTAACAGCTGTTCTGTACTGCTCTAGCCTTTTTTCTGTGCATTTATATATACACTTGTCTATATGCACATACATAAATAGGTGCTTTTTGAAACACAAGTGGACTCATCCCACATCTTGTGCAATGACTTGCTTTCTCAGCACTAAGTTGTGATTTTTCCATAACGCATGTAGACCTACCCCAGTCCTTTCAAGTGCCACACTGTGCTCCATTTATGGATTTAAGTTGATTAAAACAAAATAACATAATGAGATTAAAGAGGAAGTTGAGAGTTGATTTATTATAATTATATAAACAAACAAACAGCCTTGGAGTAAGACGACTAGATTTTTCAGTCTCTCCTGAAAGAAAAGCTCTATCTATAAATAGTGGTCTCAAGACTTCCCTGGTGGTCCAGCGGGTAAGACTCTGCGCTCCCAGTGCAGGGGGCCTGGGTTCCATCCCCGGTCGGGGAATTGGATCCTGCATGCTGCAACTAAGAGTCCGCATGCGGCAACTAAGACCCGGGGCGGCCAAAATAAAGAAAGAAAGAAAAAATAAATAGTGGTCTCAGTGGTATAATTTTATGCTAGTTAAATTCCAAACCGTGTGCCCATTCAAAAGAAATTTTAAACTGACATGAAAAGATATCCCTGTGTTCAAGCAAATCACAATGAAGTTTTTAAACTTTTATTTCATTACTTTTAGCAATCTTAATTGTACACTTACGTGGAATATCTACACAAATAAAGTTACCAGAAATTAAAAACAAAAAACCCACTTAACTCAACTTCAGTACAAAAACATCCAGAATTCAAGCTTCTCCTTTTCTTTTTTTTTTTTTTGGTACGCGGGCCTCTCACTGCTGTGGCCTCTCCCGCTGTGGAGCACAGGCTCTGGACGCGCAGGCTCAGCGGCCATGGCTCACGGGCCCAGCCGCTCCGTGGCACGTGGAATCCTCCCGGACTGGGGCACGAACCCGCGTCCCCTGCATTGACAGGCGGACTCCCAACCACTGCGCTACCAGGGAAGCCCTTCTCCTTTTCTTAAAAAAAATTTTTTTAGAGTAATACATGCATATGATTAATAAAATAAAATTGTACAGAAGGGCTTACATCAGAGTGCAATCTTTTCTACATCTTCCGGTGGAATCTCGACCTAATAGACAAAATCTAGTGGCCTCTGAGTCAGTGATTGTGAAAATGGGTCCCAGAGTCCCCACAACTGCTTTACTCAGAGCCGACGTCAGAATGCAAGTGGGGAAGATTCCCATGATTGCAAAATATTAAAAATGCAACACAAACGCAATACTTCCACCTTCAAACAGAAGCCTAAGGGCACAATTTATTTTCTCTTGACCCTTGTGCACACTGATGAGTTAAATGGTGTTGCTGTCCAGCTATCAGACGTGCTCTGCAACTTGCATTGGTCAGAGACACCTTTTCGCTTCCAGATGTCAGCAAATACTTTTTGACAGGAAATAAGACCTAGCTGCTCGTGACCACAATAGAGCATCTAAACTACCCCACACCGCAGGAGAGATTTGGAGCAAAATAACCACACAGCCAAATTGTCATAATGTTTCTAAATAACTCTTGTGCTGATAATTTCAAGGAATTCTAAATCATCCCAGACAAAATAAAGCACAGAGAAAGAGCCAAAAGCTTGGAATTAAGGTGAAAAAATGTTAAAAGTTCACCTTCTGCAAAATTAAAAAAAAAAATTATAAAAGACTTTTTTGGGACAATTAAGGAAAACTGAGTGGAGTAGAGGAAGAGTTAGAAAATAGGGCCTGTGGGCCAGACCCAGCATGCTGCTTGTTTTTGTAGAGGGACTGGAACACAGCCATATATCCATTCATTTCCGAGGTGTCTGTGGCCACAACTATAGATGTGAGTAGCTGTGACAGAGACCATATGGCCTGCGAGCCTCAACCATTTACTATCTGGCTTTTACAGAAAAAAGTTTGCTGACCCCTGGACCAGGATATAAAATAATATTAGGGAATTGGTGATAGTTTCCTTAAGTATGATGACGGTACTTTGGTTACGACACATGTCCTTGTCCTCAAGAGCTGCAGGTGCGAACATTTAGGGGTGAAGTACCATTATGACTACAGCTTAGGAAGTGGCACAGAAAAGATTAAAAAAAGAGAGAAAGTTAATATCACTGTTGAATTTAAGTGGTGGGAATATGGATGTTTTGGGTACTATACTTTTCCAGCGATTGTGTACGTTTGAAATTTTTCATGACAGGAAGTTGGAAAACAATTCACCCAGGTTTATATCCTCGTTCTAAGTCTCAACTGCTTTTAGATGCAATGGCATTTCTTAGGAAAGTACTCAGAACAGCAAAATTCTACTAAAACACTAAAATGTGCAAAGCTCTGGATTCCACTCTAATTAGATTTTACCTGTTTAGGTCATATACTATTTCAGCAGCTGCAGGAAAAGATAACCCATTTGATTGCTTTCGGATTGTCTTGTGCTTATCAATGTTTGAGAATGCGAGTACTGAGGAAGGGAAAGGTTGTACAATGAACAGATCTGTTGCTAAAATAGTTATTTTTTATTTTTAAAATAGCTTTATTTTTTTAACCTTGAGCACCCAGCACATAGAAACAATTCTATTTTTTTTTATTTTTGAAATTTATTTATTTAATTTATTTTTTTAGCTGTGTTGTGTCTTTGTTGCTGCACACAGGCTCTGTCTAGTTGCGGCGAGCGGGGCTACTCTTCATTGCGGTGCGCGGGCTTCTCATTGCAGTGGCTTCTCTTGTTGCGGAGCACGGGCTCTAGGCGCACGGGCTTCAGTAGTTGCGGCACACGGGCTCAGCAGCTGTGGCGCACGGGCTTAATTGCTCCGTGGCATGTGGGAACTTCCTGGACCAGGGCTCGAACCCATGTCCCCTGCACTGGCAGGCAGATTCTTAACCACTGTGCCACCAGGGAAGCCCCGAAACAATTCTCTTTAAAATTAGATTTTTTTTTTGAGTGTAAAAATTTACTTACATTCGCCAAAGAATATCACGTTTCAAATGTTTTAAGGGAGAACACTGAGGGTTGCCTGGTCTCGCTGCTATTTCATACTTTATGCTTATATATCCTGGTACCTTCTGGGAATCAGAAGCACGTTCCTGAATGACACACCTAGTAACACAACAGCCTCCACCTTGGAGCGGTAGCAGAAAATGGCAAACTTAGCAAATAACGATGCCCTGAGGCCCAGAGACTTGTACCAGAGCTCTTGTGTGAAATCAAGGTCATGGTTCCACTGAGTCTGTTTCCTTATTTAAAATGGAAATAACAACTATCCTACCAGGGATGAAAGAGGGAGAAAGGTTAAAAGGGTCTAATGATACTGTGTAAAAAGGCTTGGAATGTAAATCCGAGGCCATTACAGCCAATGGGCCAAATTGAGAGCAGTTTTACTGGAACGCAGCTATACTATGTCTACATAAGGTCTATGGTTGCTTTTGCATTAAAGTCGAGTAGTTACTACAGACCATATGGTCGGCAAACACAAACGTATTTGCTATCTGGCCTTTTACAAACAATGAATTGCTGACATTGGCTCCAGACCACTATGCGCTAATTAACAACCTACAGGTGTGCATGGATCACTGAATCTCAGAATCAAAAAGGGCCTCTGGAGAACTTGCAATTGAGCATCATCACTAGATACATACCACCTGTGGCTCAGAAAGGTAACATGATAGGGACGGCTAAGGTCACAGACATTCGTTGTGAATTCTGGAGCACACATACCACTGCTTTCACCTGGCCCAAACTAAGCAGGGTAGAGCTAGAACTTGAAGACAGTGAGGCTACTTGGGCCAAGTCTCAAGTTCAAATGGCTGGTGTTCAGTGACTAATCTGTGCAAGGGGGAGGTCAGAGTGGGCAAAGATCACAAATGTTAATCTTAACTGAAACATATCCTGCCTACGGCAACAAAATCTGGAAATGAGAAGTTTCTAGGAGTCCAAGGAGGTTCTCAGCAGGCAGCCTGCAGCAATCTAGGTCTCCTCCATCACCCCACTCCACTGCAGGGCTGGAGAAGCGAGTGGTGGCGGTCGCTGATATTAACTGAATATTATTGAACCCAGTCTACCGTATGCAAGATACTTTCATGAAGTTATATGATTTCATTCGACACCCACAAACACCACATGCAACAGGTCATATCCCCACTTAATGCCATAGATGCTGAGGCTCTGAGGTTAAATGACTTTGCTCAAGGTCACACAGTTGTCAGGAGGTAAAGCTGAGACTCTACCAGGTCCGTTTGACCTGGAAACCTATGTCTTTCACATCAGGCTACAGGCAGAGACCATACGTCATAGGTCTGAGGAGGGCACACAAGCTGGTTAAGGGGCAGAGCTAGGGTTCAAATCCGGGGCTGGAGGTAAGAGTCCAGAACTGCGTTTTCCAACCCAACACAAGTTTCTTCCTCTCTAGAGTTTTCCGGCCTGTCCCATCTCTTCGAGCACCCTGAGGTCTTGAAGAGCTGGTGGGAGCTTCCATCTCATTCCTCCAGGAACCCAGAGTAGAGTTCTGTCCCTTCAGGGGAGATAGATGGTCCTTAGCCCCGTCTGGGAGCAGCAGGGGGCTCTGCACCGGCTGCCGCCAGCCCGCCGGACGCCGCTTACCTGCCGCGGGGCCGTCAGGGTCCCGTCCACGTCGAAGAGGCAGAGCGCTGGGCCGTGCGCCGCCATGATCCCAGTTTCCACGCGTACCTTACAGGATTCGCTGGCACCTGGAATCCGTCTCGGAACTTCCGGGACCAGCCCCCCTGCCGCAGGGCACGCCGGGAGAAGGAGAATCCACTCCCATAATGCCTCGGAATAGCGCTAGCTGTTCTCTCTGGACTACAGATCCCAGAATGCGATGCTCCTCTACGCGGTCCTATTAGGGCCGAACACGCGCTCTTAGCGGTTCCGGGAGTAGGTGGGATTCACTTCCGGCAGCCGGCATTGAAGTCATGGTAAGAAGGCGGGTGGTGGGAAGTAAGGGAGGTGACGTGTTTTGTGGGTCGGGGGCAGGCCTGGGGGAGGCCTGCAGGCACCTGGGGTTCTGATTCGGAGAATCCATGGGAGGGACGTGGGTTCCGATTTGTTATTCCCCGCTCTCCTCTGCGCTCAGGTCACGTGGGCGAGCAACGGCGATAACTAAAACCCACTGAGCACTCGCCGAGCATCAAGTGCATTTGAAGGCTTTAAAACCATCATCACATTCAGTATATTTTGGATCCCCATTTTGAAAGATGAAGAAACTGGGGCCCAGAGAGGTGGAGTAATTTGCCCAAAGATCCACAGCTGGTGACTGTAGGAGTCGGGATTGGAACCCAGATCTGACTTCACCGCCCAAAGTATCTTTCACTGCACTATTCGAGGTGTGGAACTGTGCATCTCATAAACCCCTTGTGCTACGGTTTGACGCCTCCCTCCTCCTCCGTTCTACCCCATCCCTCAATTTAGGCCAAGTAAACAGCGTTTCCCTTCCGACCCCAAGATGACGCTTTAAACCTGACCGAGAATTGGGTAGTTATTATGATGAATATCTTGCGGATTTGTTCCCCACTGGGACATTGATTGAGTTTCCTGCTTGGGAATTGTCACACACGCTGTGGATCCAGTGCCAGCCCAGAGTTGGCTCTCTCAAGGTATTTGTTGAATGAATGAAGGCTGCGCCTCCTTTCCTATACCTACTTGAGCTGTCTAGAGGAAAGAGGGCCGGTTTAAAAGTCAGACTCTGCCCCACTCACTGGCTGTGTGTCTTTGGGTAAATTTCTTACTTTCTCTGGGCTTAATTTTCTCCGTGGTAAAGTAGAAGTAGTGGTTCCCATCGCAAACAGCTTTTGTGAAGATCACGTGAGGTAAAGCATCTGGCTTTACCTTTCTTTCCATCTCTGGCAGTGATGCCGGCCTCACAGGATTGGTGGGAGCCTCCGTGTAAGATGCTTTGCAGCTGTTCCTTGTGTGATTAGCATGGTTGAGTTCCATGAGAGAAATGGTCTCCCTGTCTCCCTTTCAGGCTGCCTTCCTCCGAGCTGTGCCGCGGTCGCCAGGGCCAGCTGCATGGGGAAGGCCTCTCCACGGGCTGTGGTACTGCAGTGGGCGGGATCCTAGGAGGTGGGTGGGAAGCAGGCCACCAACCTCCAAGGAGAAACCACCCGGCACAGAGACAGAGACATTTCAGATGGTGTACCGGTTTGATGCCATCAGGGCTTTCGGGTACTTGTCTCAGCTGAAGGTGGCACAGACGGCCCTGACGGTGGTGGCCTTGCCGCCTAGCCTCTACTGGTACTCCCAGGGCCTCATGACCTTCAACTCCCTGTGCCTGGCGGGCGGGATCGCTGGCTTTGCCCTGGCCATGTTGTGCTGGATGAGCCATTTCTTCCGGAGGCTGGTGGGCATCCTGTACGTGAATGAGTCGGGCACCATGCTGCGGGTGGCCCACCTGACCTTCTGGGGCCGGCGACAGGAGACATACTGCCCTGTGGCCGACGTGATCCCCATGACGGAAAGCCAGGATCGGCCTCAGGAGCTGTTCGTGCGGATCCAGCAGTACAGTGGGAAACAGACCTTCTACCTCACCCTGCGCTACGGACGCATCCTGGACCGAGAGCGTTTCACACAGGTGTTTGGGATGATGGACAAGTTCAAGTGAACGGACGGGGGCCTCCTGCAGGCAGCCTGAGGGTGTGGGCGGGGCTGAAGGAGGGGGTCGGGCAGCTGGAGACTTTGCCGGGGCCCCTGGGAACTTGTCTTTTGGGATAAGGAAATTCATGAGATGGAAGTAACTGGGTTTAGAAAGAGGCCCTGAGTGCAGATTCTTAACTGCACTTGTGTGTGACATTCAGATAATGGCCAGAAGTTTCTGTTAAGAGCCAGTTCTTGGAGGAAGCGATGCCAAGCTCTCTCGAACAATTACACTGCTGTGAAACCAAAGAGAGAGAGGTGGGGGGCGGGAGCCAGAAGACTTGGGTCTGTCCGTTTCCAAATCCCTGTCCTGGGGCAGGTTATCAAGTCTCTCAGAACCTTGATTTTCACATCTTAAAGTGGAAAAATCCTCCCTGTCTCCTGGGATGGGTGTGAGAATAAACAATAAATGTCATTGTTAGTTCAGAGGTGATGGCGCCGCAAAAGGCTTCCAGGCAATGGGTAGGGATTTCACCAGCCCTATGCTGCGCCCCCTTGTGGACCCGGCGGCGGGGGGACCAGGATGAAGCCTAGAGGTGGGTCGTTCATCCTGCCAGCACGGTAGCTGCACAGCCACTGGGGCAAGGTTGTAATCCGAGCAAGTTCACCGCCCAGAGGTCTAGGGGCTCTCACATCAGAAGGCTTTGCAGTGTGATAAAGTCAGATGAACTATACGCTGGTGTGATACTTTATCAAATAAAGCCAGTTATATGTAATGTTCCCCGTAATTAGCAATATGCTTATTATATAATTTGTAACAAAGAGGAAAGAAGTCATGATCTTTAATTCTACCACTCAGAAGTCAATAACTAAATTTTGTTTTGTGACCTTCAAGTCTTTTTTTATTTTCAAATCGTAGTAAAATATAAATTTATCCTTTTAATCATTTTAAGTGTACACTAAGTGGTATTAAGTATATTTAGTGTTTTGCAACCATCACCTCTCTCCATTTCCAGAACTTTTTCGTTATCCCAACCAGAAGCTCTGCACCCATTAAATAGTAACTCCCCAGCACCCCCTTTCTCCAGCCCTTGGCAACCACTAATCTGCTTTCTGTGTCTATGGAGTTGCCTGTTGTGGGTATTTCATGTAAATGGAATCATCCGCTGTGTGGCGGCCTTTTATGTCTGGCTTCTTTCACTTGGCATAACTTTGCAGGGTTTACCCATGTTGTAGCAGGTATCGGAACTTCATTCCTTTTTTATGGCGGAATAATATGTATATAGCACATTTTGTTTATCCGTTAATCTTTCGATGGACATTTTGATTGTCTCCACCTTTTGGCTGTTGTGAGTAATGCTGCTGTGAACATTGGTGTACAAACATCTGAGTTTCTGCTTTCAATTCTTTTGGGTATTTTCTGAGAAGTGGAATTACTGGGTCATACGGTAATTCTAAGTTTAACTTTCTGAGGACCTGCCAACCTTTTCCATAGTGGCTACACCATTTTATATTCCCACCAGCAATGCATCAGAGTTCCAATTTATCCACATCTTTTTTTTTTTATATATAATAGCCATCCTAATGGGTGTGTATCTCACTGTGCTTTCAGTATTTACTTAAAACATAGATGTTATCCTGTATCTGAAATTGGCTTTTTTTTTGCTTCATGTTATAACATAGGACTACGTCAGTTATAAACATTCATTTAAAATATTCAATCACAAGGAAGAAACCTTGTGACTATGTGAGATGCTGGATGTTAACTTACTGTGGTAATCATTTTGCAGTATATACATATATAAATCATGTTGCATTCCTTAAACTAATGCCATATTGTATGTCAGTTATATCTCAATAAAGTTGGAAAAAATGGGCAGCATACCTTACAAATAGATAAAAACAAAAGGCCCCGATTATTTGATTTTTTTTTCATTTAAATACTTTTTATGCAAAAAAAATCAGTAATTGCAAAATATTCCACTGAGTGGTTGTAGCTGGTCCTATAACCTTTCTTGTTTAAATGATCTCCATTTTTTCAGTGCTATAAAGAATGTGATAAATGCCAGCTATATGGAGAGATATCTTTCCTTTGTGTAGACTGCAAATGGCATTTTGAGAAAAGTGACTTTATAATGACGAAAACATGAAAGAAGTTGTTAGATTTTCTCAATTTATTGCATTTCACAGAAGCAAGTAAAGCATGTAATTCAAGGCAGTTTGTCCCTGCAGGCTTCCAAATCAGCCAGTCATCCCAGACCTCTTCCGCTGGGTGCTGAAGGCACCACGCTTCATAAAAGGGGAGGATTTGGGCCTTTGGACTGACAGCATCTTGGTGGGGAGGGAGGGCGGATGCTAAGTGCATATGTATAATTAGAAATGGGGAGGGACTTCCCTGGTGGTCCAGTGGTTAAGAATCCGCCTGCCAATGCAGGGGACACGGGTTTGATCCCTGGACAGGGTAAGATCCCACATGCCACGGGGCAACTAAGCCCGCGCACCGCAACAAAAGATCCCGCATGCTGCAACCAAGACCCGACACAGCCAATAAATGAATAAAATGGGGGAAAGTGCAAGGAAAGAGAAGAGTGGGGTGGCCTGAGGCAGAAGAGCAGGAGGGGGTGAGGCCTGGGGCCGGGACTTTGAAGGGGACCCCAGGTGTGTGGAGGAGATGGACATGAGCACTGCTGAGGGGACACAAGCGTGCATTTCTGCCCTGGACAGGAATGGGGTGGGTGCCTTTGCTAAGGGGAGGACCCTGAATTTGATCCAAGTCACTGTGGGGAGCCTTTGAAAGTCAGTGAAAGAAAGCTTAGGAGCTCTTTAGAACAAGAGGAAATAGCTTTTAATTTGTATTTGTTTTTAATTAAAGATGCAAATGAAAGGGCATAGACTTATGGATTTGTCATTGCCTCTGTTAAATTCCCATCGCGTGTTAATTCCAGCCAGTTGAAGGCAATGGCCTGGGGAGTGTGTGACCATGTCCCTCAGATGTTTGGGAATGCTGGGCTCCCATTGTCAGCTGGGGTATATCTGCAGGGTCTGTCTAGATAGAGGGGCTGTGCGTGCCGTGGACGGTGTGACCCAGAGCCCGGTTGTGGGCCTGGGGGTTCCCAGAGAGCCGCAGACCCACTCAGAAGTGCCGGCTCTTAGGGTAAATGGCATGTGGTTCCACTGACTTAATTTTATACCAACTTTACTCTAAAAGTACAACCAGAAACTGACTGCTCTCACCTGCTCCAGCCCTGCCATTTCGATCCAAGCTGCCCTTATAGCCTCTGGATTATTGCAACCTGCTGCTTCCATCCTTGCCCTTCTAGAATCTGTTCTCGCAGCAGCCGAAGTGGTCCTTCCTTTCTGTCCTTCCTTTCTTTCTTCCCTCCTTCCTTCCTGCCACACCTTGTGGCTTGTGGGATCTTAGTTCCCTGACCAGGGATCGAACCCATGCCCCCTACAGTGGAAGCACGGAGTCCTAACCACTGGACCACCAGGGAAGTCCTGCCAAAGTGATCCTTTTAAAAAAGAGAATCACATCACTGCTGTAGAAGCTGAAGTCCTTACTGTGACCTACAGGGCCCAGCATGGCCTGGCCCCGCCCCTACCCCCAGCTTTCTTCTCATCCACAACTCTGCACTTACCACTTCAGTTAGCTATATTTCCCTTGCTCTTCCTCCAATAATCAAGGACCCCGCAGCCTCAGGGCCTTTGCACTGACAGTCCCTCTGCCTAAAAGCCTTTCTTCCTAGGTATCTACATAGAAGTGTCTATCTGTCTGTCTCCAGTTTCTCTCTCTGTATAACAGGGGTGTTACTATTTATCCTCAAGAAGTTGTACTGAGGATTCAATTATATAGAAGACTCGATTATATAATCTTTAGAGCTGCTGGTTCCCTTCCCTACCTTTCCCTCACCTGCTTGTCAGTGACTTCAGTTCCTGTGAACCTCTTCTCCCAAAGACACAGTCTGTGCCTATAAAATGTCTTAAGAGGGATTAATGATCTGACCTTGACTTATTAAAACCAAAAATTAAGTAGGCCTGTTGGGCTACCTGTAAGCACTTACCTGAGTGAGCTTCACCCCCTGGAGATTCTGATTATGTCTGGGGTGGATCCCCAGAATCGGTCTTTTTGTCAAGCTTGAGGCTAATTCTGCTATGCAGCCATGCTGGGAATTTCTGAAATAGATGACCAGGGTGGACAACACCAGAATGACACATGCCTCTGTGTCCCTGGGCCAATTTTTTTTTTTTTTTTCCTACAGAATAGGTTCTCCGTCTGGGCTCCGTGTGTAGAATCACCTGGACACCTCTTAAAAAGTACTGTTGCCCAGGCCCATGACCAGTTTCCCTAGAGGGGATTCTCATGCGTAGCCTGATTTGACAATTACTGCCCAGAAGTGTCAGTTCAGTGGGAGGTGACAGCCCCGATTCTCACCGGCTCTGGCACAAAAGAGCCTCCACTTGGATGTGTGGTTTGCTCATGCAGTACCAGCAGAGGGCACACAGAGCAAATGCATTATTCTATCCCTTTATTTCCAAGCTAAAATTGCATGTGACAAGGGAAACAGTTTAGGGTTTCTGCAGTGCACCAGCAGGGCAGTAGTACCCAGTTCCCATGCTCCAGATCAGCAACAACAAAAACAACAAAACTCGCCTGTGCTCAACCCTGCAGATTCTGGTTGGGCAGAAGCTGGGCATCTGTATTTTGATGCTTCCCAGGTAATTCCAAGGCACCCCAGGTTTTGAGAATCATTGTGTGGGATTGAGCCTTCCCAAGAGCCGTGCCTCTCTGATGGTCAAGCAGCTTCTCAGAAAATGGAAACAGTCTTTAGATTCAGGTGGTGTGTGGTTATATTGGTGATTTCCCCCTTGGAAAACAATTCCAAAATAATCATCTAATGGAAATACTCAAGCATGTATATGAGGATGTTCACTGAATGTTTCTAATAGTGAAACAAACACAACAACAACAGGAAGTAAACTAAGTTGCCATTAGTAGGCAACACAGTTAAATAAGCTATGGAATATTACATGCCCTTAAAAAGAGTGAGGTTGAACCATATCTGCTGATGTGACAGGATAATCATGGGGTAGTGTTAGGTGGAAAAAGCAAATCAGAGAACAATATAGTTCTGTATGATCCTATTTGTGATTTAAAAAAACGCATTCCAAATTTTTCACAGTGGTTAATTCTGGGGAGAAGATTCAGGTGGATGAGACAGAGGGAAAACTTCTACTTTGAACTTTATGGCCTTCTAGTATTGTTTAAAATTTCCGTAATGATCGTGTCATCCATCTTAACAAATGAAGTAAAATGCTGTACTAAACACAATCTCTTCTGCCATCCTTTCCCACTCCTGCCAGCTTTTGAGGTAAAGAGAAAAGTTTCTCAACCATGAATCTCCATTCTGGACTTGGAAGCTGGGTGGACAGTAGGAAACAGTCATTAAAAGCATTAGTGATACAACCGTGTTTGTATTTTGTAGACTGGTTTTCATTCCCATCTGCTGAGAACCATCTGGACTTTGGGCACCCCACCTGCCCTGGGCTGTGTGTTATTTAGATGCAGGAAATGGGGTAACCTGTAGCACGTCCATTTTCACATGGTAGGTGCTAGGGACTGAATGTTTGTATCCCCTCCTAAAATTCACATGTTGAACCATAGCCCCCCATGTGATAGTGTTTGGAGATGGGGCTTTTGGGAGGTGACTGGAGTCAGATGAGGTCATGAGGGTGGGGCCCCCACGATGGAATCAGTGCCATGTGAGGACACAAGCAGGAAGAGACCCTCACCAAGGACCCAACCCTGGACTTCCAGCCTCCAGAACAGTGAGAAATAAATGTTGGCTGTTTATGTGCCCCATCTCTGATATTCTGTTAGAGCAGCTTGAGCTGAGACAGGTAGTCCTCCAGACCATGGTGAGGTCTGCTCCAACTGGGGACATTCACAGTGTGCATGGCTGGGAGCCGTTGTCCCTCCTACACTGGTTACCAGAACTGAGCCTTACCTGGTCATAGGCCCAGATATCCCACCCCCAGCCCATCATAAATAAAAATGTTTAATGCACTTCCCAGAACAGATTTGATGGGCTTAGCTGCTTGCAGGGGGCCAGCCTGGGGTGAGTTAGCCAAATAACTAGGAGCTTGCCCTTGGCTGCTTTAAGAATTCAGGTCTTGTGAGTCCCCAG